GCTACTACGTTAGAGAATCTTGTAAGAGAACAGAAATTTCATGCCTATATTCCTTTTATTCTTTTAGTGAAAATTATTACAACTACTGTGCACTCCAGTTCCCCTCTTTTTGTTTGATTAAATATGTCAATAGTAATTCATTTTAGTTAGCATAAAACCACTTGTTAAATTATTCTGTTTCACAGAAGGTGTTTGAAGACCTTTCACTACCAGAGGTCATACAGTGTTTTCCCTCTACAAATTATATTTTTGTCATATCCTCTGTGTCTTGGGAATACAGCAGTTTGTGTTAACCTTTGAGTAGAAAGATTGATTATACTGTGCCACAAAGACTACAGCAGGGACGACTTTGAACAAACGGAATGAAACACATTAAGGTCTTTTTCCACAAGGGGAGAGGAGATGCCTAATAGACACTATGGTGAATGGTATGAACAGATAATAGTGTTCTCAGTACTATATATGTTGTATCCAATTTGTCAAAGTTACTCTAGAACAGACAAAAAAAAAATCTGAGTAACAATTATTTGCTTTTACTTTCCCCTATGACAGGAAAAAGGTATAGTACTAGCTCTGCTTCAGTAATAGCAGAAAGCACTCAAGTCTGCGATCATGTCTAAATCAGAATATCCAGTATATTGTTTTATGTAAACATAATGTTTATTTAAAAATAAAGATTCCTTCCACCCACCCCTCACCACGTATTTGCATGATTGTGCTAAAAATCAGTGAAGTGAAGTCAGTTTCATTAAGCTAAACTCTGTTAAAAATCTTTATTTTCCATTTAAAGGATCTAATTCTGGCATCTTCACACAGTGAGTAGTGTTTTTCTCTGTGCTCAGTAACATTTATTTCAATGGGTTTACAAACTGAATAAGGTACTATTTATCATGAGTAAGGATGGCAGAATTTAATTTATTTCTATTTTTTCCCCAGATGCTTCCAGTATAGCAAAAGAAACAAATATTAATTATTCTGACTCTGAGATCAAGTTACTTATAAAAAAGCTTCAATTGTCTAAAGAAGAATTTTAAAGTACCGCTGTTGCTTTGTCATTTTTGTCTCAAGCTACACTGATACTGTGCTAACCATTTTCCCTTCAGGCAACCACCAATATGAACCCTTTCCTCCACCATGAAAGGGCAGAATGTGTAATCCCCTTCAAAGAACACATAATATAGCTTCTTTAACTCTTCCCCCCCCCCCCCTCCTGACATCCCCTCACCTTCACAAAACATCTGGCTTCTATTGGCTCAAGGCAGCATGACTCTCAAAAGGCTGCAGCCATACCACTGAACTCACAATAAAATAAATTTTACATCATGGAGATGTGTAATAATTTTCACAGACAAACCAAATTTCAATGAATGATCAGGGTGGATAATGTGGTATTCGATATACTGGTACAATATAGGTAATGATTTTACAAAAACTTTCTGGGTTGAAAGATACTTTCATATGGGGGATTTTGAGACTTTGGAAATCGTGTTTTGAGACTAATACATTGATTTAATAGCAGCTATTACCTACTTTGTTCTGCTGACCTACCCTGGAGCTGCAAATATATTTTGCACATTATTTAATATCTCATTCTTTGAGACAGTTATGGTGTATACTCTAAATACCTGAAAGTAAAAAGGGGAAAGTGGAGTTGATATGTTATAAAGATTCATAAAGAATGCAAAGTTTTACATTAATAAATCAGAAAACTATTTCAAACATGTGTCGGTATTTTTAAATGCTTCTCCAATAAGTAATAAAGATTATTAAGGATAAGTTATCACTAAGGAACTATTCTCTGAGCAAATTTAAGGGCCTAATTTATTTTAAAAAAAGGACACTCATAACTGCATACAATTTAATAGGCCACCTTCAGTTCCCTGGTTTCTTCATGCACCTTACTAGCCTGAGCCAGTCTTTTGTGAATATGAGTTGGTGTGCTTTTGTGTCCACAGACATCTCTGACTGTGTGGTTTGCAAAGAACTGTGGAATTCTCTCTCCTCTATTAGAAATTATATCAAAATAGGTGCTATGTGATTGTATCACTGTCGCAATGGCTTATAAATACAAAGAAACACATGATTTATACCAATACTCAACAGCTGCTAGGAAGAGGAAAAATCTTAAAGACAAAAAGCAAAAATCAGTGGGTCTGATTCTCCCTTCGTGGTACCTGTGTAAAAAGGAATAACTCCACTGAAGTCAGTGAAGCTATAATGGTGTAAAAGTGGTGTGAATGAGAGGAGACTCTGACCCAATCAACATTTAAAAATACAAAACAAAATTCCCTAATCTAGACTGTTCAAGGGTTTTGATGTCTTAAAACACAGCTAACTTCAAATGGACAATACAATGGAGATCCAGTTTCCATAGAAACAAGTTAGATGAAGATGTGCACATCAAATAGTGGTCTCATAGCAAACAAGACTGCATTGCAGATATTGTTCTTTGAAAACAACTGGAAGTGTTTCAAACCATATCTTTAAGAAAAATAAATGTGTTTTGAACATTACTGAATGCTATCAAACAAACAGAAAACAAAACCTTCCTAAATATTATAGTACTCATTGCTAATGTGGCCATGACCAAGGTACAAATTGCTTCTCATAGTAAATCTTGTTCGGTGTTTACAAAATGACTGATTTATTTGGTATTGGACTGGAACATCAAATAAGAACCATCAGCCTAAATTTACGACTTTATAAAAATATGCATCTGGAGTAGACTAATGGTACATCTACTCTGGAGACAGAAGTATAATTTTCAGTTCAGGTAGAAATACCTGTGCTAGCTCTGACACAGCTTGCACATTAAAAATAGAAGTGTACCTGCAGCAGTGCGAGTGGCAGGATGGGCTAGCCTCCCCGAGTATGATCCTATCTGAAGCCCTACGTACACACTCGGGTGGCTAATGCCACTGTGGCTAGGTTTGATATTTAGTACGCAAGCTTGATCAGATTTACTGTGGGGATGTTTCCTTGAGCTGGAAATTACAAGGCCAACTCCACTGTAGACCTACTTTAAGATGTGTTTTAAATACACAATTGTAAAAACAGGCTTTAGTAATTTAAAGTACTTTTAGTCAAGTTGCTCTAAAACTTATGATTTTCTGAATTACAATTTTTTATTTATTTGCAACTTTTAGTGATTTGACTTATTTAACTTTACAAAGTGGTTTTTGTGCATGTGGTAAATTTACCACTTTGGATGAGGTACTCAAAAGCTCTTAGCTATGGCCTAACTCTGTACCCACCAAAGTCAAAGGGAGTTTTACCATTGTCTTCAAAGGCACCAGAGTAAGGCTAATGCTGAGTGCACTTTTGAAAATCTCATCCTTTAACATAAAATTACCTCTGACACTCTTAACTCATTACAATTACACTGGTCTACAATTTTTGAGAAGTCGTCTGCTTCAGAGATAAAATGTGCTAATTATTATGTATTTTGATGTGCTGAATTCAAATATGACAATTAAAACAACTGATTGGCTACTGTTTCTAAGATATTTAAGCTTTTACATTTTATGTCTCTGTATATTGTGTAGACAGAGTTTTAATCATAAATTGTAAACCTAGGTCTTTTCATGTGTTTAT